TTTTTTCACCCGAATCTACCCCACATCTCTATCTACTTCCCCCATTTTTCCTTTTCTGCAAACAGCTACTTTAAAGAAATATTAAATTAAGCTTTAAGTTTTACTTATTTTGGTCATCCTGGTCAACATTTCTCCCTCCATTCCCCTTTTTTTTTGCTTCCTTTTCTTAATTTTCCTCAAATCCCCTTCCTATGCCCTTGGATCATTCAAATATTTCTAACAATTACAGAAGAATTTCTAAATACCGTATTCTCTCTAATAGTAGTGCGCACTACTATTTTTTTCAAACCCCTCCTGGACCGCAATACTATTAGAGAGTGCACTACTATTAAAGAGTTTTATCATTTACCAAAGTAAGACAGATATAAGATTTGTTCCAAAAATTCTTGCAATTCTTTTACGTACTCCTTTGGCTCCTTTTGACGTACGGTTGTGGGCCGGCGAGTTGACAATTTGTGTCTTGACAAACAACAAAAAGATTTTTTTTGCACTTTGCACAACAATTTGAGATTTTTTGCTAACTTCTTCATGTGAAGTATTGTTAATAAATGAATAAAAAAGCCTCACTTTTGCTTGCTTGAATAGCTTTAGAATGTCACATAAACATAAAGTCAAAAGGGGTTCAGATGAAAAGAAGCACCAGAAATTCAAATTTTCGAGGGTGCACTACTATTTTTTCAACCCCCTCTCGGACTGCAATAGTATTAGAAAGTGCACTACTATTAGAGACTACTATTAAAGAGTGCACTACTATTAGAGAGAATACGGTATTTCAATTTCTTTTTGATTTCTTCTTTAATTTGATACTTTTATAACTAGTGATCTTCTTCTTTTTAAATTTTGATCTTAATCTTGTACTAATTCTCCCAGAGTCCCCTCCCTCCTTTTGTCCATTATATTTTCAGCTTTCTTTTCTTTCCATCTTTTTATTTTCTTTTTCTAGTCTTTCTTCTTTTCCCCATCTCAAGTCTCACATCCTTTTTTTTCGTCAACACTTCTCCCTCCATTCCCCTTTTTTACTTCCTTTCCTTAATTTTCCTCAGATCTCCATTCCCATGCTCTTGGATCATTCAAATGCTTCTAACAATCACAAAGAATTTCTAAATATTTCAATTTCTTCTTTAATTTGATACTTTTTACAACTTGTGATCTTCTTCTTTTTCAATTTTGTTCTTAATCTTGTACCATTGTCGATACAATCTTGTTAATCTCCGTTGCTACGATCAGATTCTTCACTTTTAAACTAATATAGTAATTGAGAGCTAAAACTAAGTTAGACAAAAGTTTTAGAACAATAGAAAACTTTAAGTAAGTAAAAAGGTAAGTAAAAAGTTCAAGTACCGTATTTTCTGTAATAGTAGCGCAGTCTGGAATAGTAGTGCAGTCTGTAGTAGTAGTGCGGGCTAGAAGAGTAGTGCGGACTAGAAGAGTAGTGCAGGCTAGAATAGTAGTACAGTCTGTAATAGTAGTGTAGCCTATAATATTAATCCAGTCTGGAGGGGGATTGAAAAAAAATCGTAGTGCGCACTACTATTACAGAAAATACGGTAAAAAGTTAAACCACCGCAAGCAATTTTTTTTTGATTTAATTTGCTAAATGAGTTGAAACCCAAGTTGAAAACCAGCTTTTCACTCAATTTTTGCAAACAATTATACTCATAGTTATCTTGCAAACAATTATATTGGGTTGGGGACTATGACTCGGCGCCGAAAATCAAAAAAATGTCTAAAACTTCTATTCGACTTCGTCAAATAATATGCATTTGATATGAGTAGAATGGTTAACTAATTCTCTACAAAATGACATTTAAAAGAAAATTCAAACAGCGCCTCCGCTCAAGAAAAAGCCATTTTTTCACAAAAACTACAAACTGTGATCTAGAAAAAACCATTGGTGGGATCTTCCTGCAAATTTGGCAACTTAAGTAATTCAATGTGCTCTATCTTTTTTATATAAACACCAAAGAAGGTTTATGTGAAAGAAACTGTTCAAATGATGAGTCGGGCTCTTTGCCATTTTGACTAGCTGTGTTTGGGAGTCCATAAACTCCACGAAAGAAAAGCTTTGTGGAATCTCTCAAAAGTGATTTTGTAGAGAAATAGTGGATCCTTTTGATGAAACCAAACGTATGTTTAAAGAAGGCTTTATGTGTGCAAAAAGTCCCTTTAAAGTTTGGCGCCGAGTCATAGTCCCCAACCCAATACATATAGTAATTGAGTGCTAAAACTAATTTAAACAAAAGCCCTACGCTTCTAACAATCACAAAGAATTTCTAAATATTTCAATTTCTTCGAACAGCTACTTGTATAAAGAAATATTATATTAAGCTTTAAGTTTTACTTATTTTAAAATCCTGGATATTTTGTTGTTGAAGATTTCTAACTTTTTCATGATTTTAAACCAACTTCAACTTGAACTTAAGCAGCTTTAAGCCTGATTCTTTTCTTAAATAACTTTTGTAATCATAGAGATCTTAAAGAGAATCAAAATACCTACCAGGAAACGTTTTTTAAATGTAAAATTAAGCCAATACTTTTAAAATAACGAAATTCTTTTGTTAAACGACTTGAGTTCTGAATGAGTTTCATCAACATCTTTCGAGGCCAACTGATCCGAAGAATAAAATCGTTTTATTCTCCGGTGTACTTTAATATTAAAAGATATTCAGCTTATCAATTCAAATTATCGATGAAAGGACTTTGAAATCTATTGAAAATCTAAAAACATTGAAATGTTATTTTTTTTGATTAGATTCTTTCACTTTTACAAATACACATTTTTGGAAACATTTTTATTAGACATTGCTTTATTTTTTTTTGTTTTTAAAACTTAAAAAACTCTCCACCCAATCAGATTTCTTATTTTGAACGTTTAAATGTTTCCCCCTCATCTCATCCTGTCGATTTTATCGCGTTTCAATGAAAACCAAGGAAATTTCCAATGTTTCCGTTTATTTTCCCAATTTTTGCCAGAGTAAAGAAAAGTTTGAACACGAAAATCCGCAGGAAAAGGCACAGGAAACGCATTACTGTATTTGGAAAGACAAAATTGAAACTAATTCATTCTCAAAACATTTGAAATTGAAATGAAATCCTAGAAATCCTTACAACTCTACAAGTTTTAAAGATGCTCAACTTTTCTTTCCTTTTCTTTCCTTTTCTTTCCTTTTCTTTCCTTTTCTTCCCCTTTCTTCCCGTTTCTTTCCCCCTTCTTCCCCTTGCTTCCCCTTTCTTTCCCTTTCTTTCCCCCTTTTTCCCCTTTCTTCCCCTTTCTTTCCCTTTCCCAAGTGCTTCTTTCCCTTTTCAGGTGTTATTTGTCCCGAGTCAGTGTGCCCGTTTCCCATCTCAAAGGTCGATCCCTTCATTCCCCTTTACCCCTCAAAAGGATGACAACCAAAAGAAGGACAGTTAACCTTACCAAAGAGCTTACTGTTCTCCAATACTTAATCTCTTTTCTCTTCTCTTTCATTCCTTTCCTTCTTTAGCATTATCGATTAACTGGCAAAGATGGAGATAGATTTGAGCAAGGTTTTCGTCAACTATAGCCTTTTTTTGAACAAATTTCATAGCTAATCGGTAATAGTTTAAAATCGAAGTTTAATGGACTAACTCTGGCCTTGTTTTGCACTGTACTTTGTGCTGTTTTCGAATGCTCAAACGCACAAAAAATTCTTCATTTTTCTCGAAAAACTTTGCTAAATAGAAAAATCTAAATATTCGCTGACTGCGTTTCTATTTTCACTTAAAAACATGCTGAAAATGAGCGACACTTTTCATGTTTTCAATTCTTTTCAATAAACGAGATTTTTTAAGAGAATAACTTTCGAAATGTGTTGTCAACAATTCGCAAAAATGAGGATTTTGAATTTTTTCCCAAATTTTCCCACAAATCGCAAGACTATCCCTAAATAAGTGTCGAAATGATTGATTAAATCATTCAATTTTTAAATCACTCGTTCTTGGTGATCCCATTTTCATTCACATCCAGTTATCCATCCATTTTCACAAGTCAAAATAAGGGATGAATGTCCTTGACCGCTTCTCTCATCCCCATTTTTACCCCCATTTCTTCAGGTGCTCTATCAAAAAAAACCCAATTTGACAAAGACTTCATTTCTAGAAAATGATCATCATTTTGAATAGAATTGTTAATTTCATGAGCTTTAGCTCTAGCTTTAGCTCTAGCTTTAGCTCTAGCTTTAGCTCTAGCTTTAGCTCTAGCTTTAGCTCTAGCTTTAGCTCTAGCTTTAGCTCTAGCTTTAGCTCTAGCTTTAGCTCTAGCTTTAGCTCTAGCTTTAGCTCTAGCTTTACTTACTTGTACTTTGCACTTTCAAAAACTTTGAACAAACGCACATTCTCGTACAATCAATTCTTTTCACTAATTAGAATGAAGCTACAACTTTGTTAAGTCTGTAATTCAATAAAGAACCTGATATTGTATTAAACTCCAGATAAAAGCCTGATATCGAAATTAAACTTCGGCTATAATTTTCTAATATATTTTTGCATATACTTTTAGAAATTAACATTTTAAACTATACTTTAAATTAGATTCAACAATTCATTCAATAATAACTTGTAATAACTTTGTTTATAGCTTTTAGCTACTATCAATTTCATCATTAAATTGAATGGAATTTGTATTTTCATTGAGAAATAGAAGGTTTCTGTAAGATAAGCCTCGTTCTAAGACAAAAATGAATGTTGGCTAGATGAATTAATAGAAATTGGATAGAAAAGAATAGAATAGAAACGCAATCAATCAATGTTAAACTAAAATGAGTCACTTTTCATTGAGAAATCGAACTTTTCTGTAAGATAAGCCTCGTTCCAAGACAAAAGACATTTCCTTGCTCAATAAATGTTAACTAAACTGAGTGATTTCTTTCTTTCGGCTAATAATTCTTCGGCTAAATCACTGAAAAACATTCTACAATTGCTATTTTATAAGCTTTTATTGTTTTCTGAGAAAGTTAAATGATTTTTTTGATACTTTTAGAATGCTTGGGCGGGTTTTACCGTTACTTTTCTTTGTGGTGGCGGTGAGTGAAGCCGAGGAGACGGTTGCCGCTCATTTAACCACTGATGATGCTGGGTGAGTTCAGGGGAATTAAATCAATAGAAAATAGAGATATTTATCTGTAAAATAAAGTATTTACAATACTTTAAAAATTAAGATTTTAAACTATACTTTAACTTAGATTCAACAATTCCCTTGTAATAACTTTGTTTATAGCTTTTAGCTACTATCAATTTCATCATTAAATTGAATGGAAATTGTATTTTCATTGGGAAATAGAACGTTTCTGTAAGATAAGCCTCGTTCCAAGACAAAAATGAATGTTGGCCAGATGAATTAATAGAAATTGGATAGAAAAGAATAGAATAGAAACGCAATCAATCAATCTTACCTAAAATGAGTCACTTTTCATTGAGGAATCGAACTTTTCTGCAAGATAAGCCTCGTTCCAAGACAAAAATGAATGTTGGCCAGATGAATATCATTTCTCTAAACTCAAGAAATTCCTCTTCGATTTGATAAAGTTCACTAAAAAATCTTTTCAAAATTGAAATCATTGAATTTCTTTGAAATTTTTGAGTTATCGAAGTCATTTATTAGAGATATTTGACAAAGAAATATGTAATTCCAGCTATCTAACAGTGATTCAAGGCTTCGCTACTCAATTACAATGTCTTGTTGATACATGCACGGATAAGGTAAAGGATTTTTGAGACTTTTTTAAATGAAAATGATTTTTTTTAAGGTTCTCTGGTATAAAGACGATATTCTTTTGTTTAATGGAACCGAATTTCAAAAAGATTCTCATTTGGATGAGGCTGCTTTCGTGCTCAATCACAATGCAGACATTGATGAGAAAAGGGGTTCGTTCAGGAGTCTAACGTCAATCTATTAACATCATAAATGAGTAAATCATTTATAAATTTTAGTTTCAAAGAGATTTTGTTTCAAAATTTGTTCGAAAATCGATTTCTAGGTTGCAGAGATGAGTGCAAGTCGTCAAGCGATTGCGAAACGGGATTCTCTTGTATAGAGAATCAGTGTTGTGCTTGTAAAAGAGAAGACTACTCACTAGTCTTGAGAAATCTCACTTTCGAGGTAAAAACGAAAAGCATCCAGTATTTTTTTCAACTCTAAAACTTTTTTACTTTAAGGATAGCGGGCGTTATCGTTGTCAAATCTCAAATACCAGCGAACAACTCGAATTTCAAGTTGAGGTTCTAGGTGAGTATTAAAGCTATGAAAAAAGCTATTAAAGTTATTAAAGCTATTAAAGCTAGTAAAGCTATTAAAGCTATTAAAGCTATTAAAGCTATTAAAGCTATTAAAGCTGTTAAAGCTATTAAAGCTATTAAAGCTATGAAAGAAGCTATTAAAGCTATTAAAGCTAGTAAAGCTATTAAAGCTAGTAAAGCTATTAAAGCTATTAAATCTGTTAAAGCTATTAAAGCCATTAAAGCTATTAAAGCTAGTTAAAGCTATGAAAGCTTTGAAAAAGATCTATCAAAGATTCAATTGTGATTTTAGAATCTGGTTTACGAGGAGGATTTCATGAGAATATCTCTTATGATCACTCGAAATGTTGTCAAGATAAAGGGATCTCAAATATGTGTCGAGCAATGTGTAAACCATCGGATATGGGGAATTTTCATTTCGATCCAACGAGGTAAATTGTTTTAAGATCGGCCTGCATAACGCTAGAATGAAAGCTAGAATGAAAGCATAAAGAATTTCAGCTGTAAAACGGATGATTACAAGAATTTCTTGTCTTGTGCAACGGATGGAGGGAAAAGAAGTCATGTGCATTGTTGCAAAATTCAAATGGTTCCCTCGTTTTGCTATGATTTTTGTAGCGCTGATTTTCAGGTATTTGAAATGTTAATTATTAAGTTTTAAGTTTAATTTCTTAGAATTTCTTCAAGTTCTCAATTAAATGAATTGAATTTAATGAAATTACAAAATTTAAATCTCATTTTTCTTCTAAAGTACTTCTAAAGAATTTCTAGCAAAGTTACTTTGTACTTTGAGTGTACTTTGAGTTTAAAAACTCATTTTCTGACATATTTGCTTGATATTTAAGCAGTAAATCTTTTAAACTAAGCCATTTAATTCGTTCTTTTCTGTAGACTCTAAGCTTAAGAATGCAAAGATCTATCAACTGAGTGTAGCAGAAAGGATTTCTTTGCTCCGGAAAGGATTTCTTTGCACTGGAAAGGATTTCTTTCGATTTCTAGCATAAAATCCCCTCAAAAGCCAAGTGATAAATGAATGTAGATGTTTTTTTAAGTAAACTATTGAGCAAACTAAAATCATTGCTTTAGATGCTCCGTCGTTCTCATCGCTTATGCCTCTACTATCTTCCCGAAATCTTCGAATGTTACAATCGTGCTTATCGTATGTTGAATGCACCATCAATGAAGAGAATCAAATGATTCTTTAGCATTTATTCTTTAAATATATTTCATTGAATAAATTTATTCATTTGAGAAAGAGATCAGAGCTGAATGGTTTAAAAAAAGTTGAAGAAAATGTGAAAAGCTTTGAAGAGATTGAAGAAATTGAAGAGATTTTTAAAATGATTTCTAATTTGTGAACGATTAAAGCATAGCTTTTCAATAGAATTATTATATTTCAAAATCTGTTTAAAATTAATCAAATTGAATTTAGTACCCTATCCTGATGCTCCGGAAGACGTGATGGTGAATGCGATCGAGCATAATCAGCTTTCCGTTTGCTGGAAACCACCACCAATCCAGGTTTCTCACAAAATGTTTCAAAGTAAAGTAAGAAGTAAAGAAAGTAATAAAGTATTAGGTTGTTCGGATATAAACGAGCGTTTGCACTGTTGAAACTCGTGGGGAAGCCATTTTCCGTATCTGATCGCTTTTCCAATGGCGTGGAGATGCTCATCAATGGTAGAATTTGAACATAGAAACTGTTGAGCAAGTTCACGCGTCGTTTGACATGGATCCGATTCGATTGCAGCCCTCAAAATATCGTTGTCTACCGCTTGAGGTCGAGTGTTCATCATCCTCGAGACTTTCATCACCATTCCGAAAGCGTTAGGACCAGGCTCAGCATCGGCTTTCGGCAATACACCCTTTCCAAATACTTTGACCAAATCTCGATGGGATTCTGTTTTGCCCAGTTTGAAGTCATAAAGTAGGCAGACAAGAACTTGATATTTGAAGCCAGGCATCTAAAGCTGAAGTCGTAACGAGCGTTTGCACTGCTTAACTCGTGAGGAAGCCATTTCCCGCATCAGATCGTCTTTGACCTCAAATGCTTTGACCAAATCTCGATGGAATTCCGCGACTGTTTTGCCCAGTTTGAAGTCGTAAAGTAGGCAGACGAGAACTTGAAATCGATCATCTTTTGAAGTCGATCATCTAAAGCAAGAAAAAAGATCTTAAAAATAAGAAATTATCCGTTTAAAAAGATTCCAAGCATACACAAGAGAAAGTACTTTTAAATACAGAAAGACATTCTTTTAAAAGCTTCTCTCACAACAATAAGGTTAGCAACGCTTGTTTATATCCGAACAACCTAACAAAATACTTTAACCTTTTTCATAAAACAAATTTAGCCAACGAATAAGGATTTCCCAGTGAAGAACTACACGGTTTTCTACAAACAAATCCTATCTTTCCCCTTCTTTCCCGGACTTGATGAGTGGGGTTTTTTAAAATGCATTTTCAAAAATGAAATATTTATTCACACATTCAAATATTGAGGCTTATCATTTGAGATCTTAAAAACAAGATCAACGATAAGCAAACGATTTCAGTTCTGGAAGTGACCTACCTTTCCTTGCTGGCGGAGATTATGGAGAGTTGACGGATATTATTGATGATGATTATGAGATAAATGGAGAGATAAATGGGGACAATGTCCCATCACCGCCCACTCTTCCTCCAGTACCTGCCTTGAGACCGAAAAGTTTGTTTATTCCTCATTCCTTATTGATTCTAGAAGTATTAGGTTGGTGAATTGAAAACTGCGGGACTTTGAACTAAAATTTATTCAACATAAAACCATGAATTCATTCCAAATAATTTCCATTACTATTGACGACTTCTGCCCATTTTACAGGCAATTTGCGGATTCCTCTTTCGTAGTAGGATTTTGGTTTGTGTGTGAGACAAGTGTGAGACTCAAAAATGGAGAACTGGAGATGTCCAAATGTTCCAGTTTGAGCACTTTCTTCAAAAGAAACCCATTTTTGTGTCAATGGAAAAGTTGTAGAGAATCAAAAATTAGGCTTATAGCCAAATTTCCAAAAAGATACACTTAGTAGTTTCGCTTAAAATGCAAGTTTTGTGAGAATTCGTAAATTTGGCATTTCTTCAAAAACCAGTTTTTGAATCGTTCTGAAAATTTGGATATAAGCTTGATTTTTGATTCTCTACAACTTTTCCATTGACACCAAAATGGGTTTCTTTTGAAGAAAGTGCTCAAACTGTCACATATGACAATAGCCGGCAGTTTTCAATTCACCAACCCAATAGTTTGTACATCGAAATGAATGAAATGAAATGAATGATCGATCTAGGATGGTTGGAGAAGCGAGAAATCGAAGTGGAGATTAATGGGAAACGAGTGAAAAGACAAACGATGGTGTTAGTGACAAGAGATGAATCATCCAATACAACAACAGTCAGGGAATTCAAATACGAAAATGTTTGTGGAAAATGTGAACTGTAAAAGAATTTAGGAACAAGAAAACCCAGTAAATCTTTTTGAGATAAATTAGAAATTTTTTGGGAAGAAAAATGAGCGAAACTTTTCTTTTCTATTTCTTTTTCCAATTTTTGGTTACTCCCAAAATCGAGATTTTTCTTAATTTGATCAATTTTCTTCACTGAAAAAGATTTTGAAATGTTTTTAGAGTATAAGAAAGTCAAGAATCAAGAACATCATGAAAGAGATCAGCTTTTGAGAATAGATTGATGCTTATTGATACAGCAAAGGTGAGAGTGTTGATGAAACTGGAGAAAGTCGACCAGGAATTTTCTGCGTCGATGGAACACTAAAGTACAATTAGAAACGAGCACTTGCGCATAGTCAAATTACTTGATATTGTCTGATGATTGGAATTGATTGAAATCAGGATGCATCTGCTTTCAAAATTGCTTTCAAAATTGAAATTTTCCTTAAAAGAAATCGTGTGAAGTACAGTTTAACAAACGATTTTCCGGTACTCGGAAGTTCCGGTACTCGTTTCACGAGTTGAGAGCCGACTGAATGATTGGAATGATTGAATATTTGGAGGAGAAGTCGTCCAAAGTGTTTTATTGATTAGTTATTGGTTTGTGGATCTGAAAAATGGGTTGCAAAACTCGAAACAAAGATCTTTTGGTATGACTGCCCCACGCTGTTGACATTCGTACGGCACAAATTAAATACGTGCAATCAAGTGGTTGAGCATTAATGTTGAGAATTCAAAAAACCCCTAAATGTTATGTAGAGAATTGAAGCCTGAATTCTTGCCTACATTTCCCTACCAAAAGATCTTTGTTTGGAGTTTTGCAACCCATTTTTCAGATCCACAAAAGAAAGTCAAGAATCAAGAACATCATGAAAGAGATCAGCTTTTGAAAATAGATTCATCCTTATTGGGTTACTGTAAGAATATTCACTTACATCACCTTTAAACAAACATTTTATAGACTCCAAGAGTTTTAGGTGACGACAAATGCGACTTGTTTCACGCTAAAGGATCTCCGAAGCGCCACAAGATATTCAATCTATGTGACAGCGAGAAATGACTATGGTAATTCGCAATGAATCTAACTAATAACTATTATTGCTAGAATTGTAAACCTGCATAAACAAATCACTCAATACTTTCAATATTGTTTCAGGAGAATCAGTGCCTTCACTCCGAAGTGTCACCTTGACGAACGTACACACAATCACTAATGGAACCTCTCTCCCCAATACACCAAGTTCGTTTTTGTGTTTTTTTTTTTGAGTCAATTGTGTTCTCATTATCATTATCTAACAATGATTCTTGTTCCAATTTTCCTATTCAATCCTATGAGCCATATTTAACCATAAGTACTTGTTTGTCTAGGTTAGTATCTACCAAAATAGTTCAAGTTCTTCTGATTATTTAGAAATTTGCAAAAGCAAATGTTCCCCCAAGTTAGTTTTTGTGTTTTTTTTGAGCAAAAGTCATTCGTCAAAAGCCAATTGTGTCCATTGTCATTCTCATTATCTAACAAAAGTTCGTTGCTTCTTTTTCCTATTTTCCTATTCAATCCTATCAGTCATATTTAGCCACAAGTACTTGTTTGATTAGGTACAAATAGCTCAAGTACAAATAGCTCAAGCACAAATAGCTCAAGTACAAATATCTCAATTTCTATTGTACAAATAACTCAATTTCTATTGTACAAATAACTCAATTTCTATTGTACAAATAGCTCAATTTCTCTTTCCATTATTTAGAATGTTGCCGTGAAGCAAATGTTTCGGAATTTTGTGCTGCCAAAATGTGTGATCCGACTCAATCTGTCAATCTTCTCTCAACAATCTCCATTTCAACGGGATGTAGACAAGAATGGCCAAAGGTTAGTGAAGCGCAATATTTAGAAATATTTCAGAGTTTTCAATTTTAGGTCTCTCCTTGCATTGCCGATGGACGAAATCATACCGAATGCTGTAAAAAGCTCGGTGTTCAGGCTGAATGTCTACCGGTTTGTGCTGGATCGACAGAAGAATTGAGGTAAAGACTTGTTGCTTAAAAGTTTCTTATTTGAAACCTCTTTAGCATGAATGCAATGCTTTGTCTCAATCTCGATTTGAGCACAATCTATCAGTGTATGAGAGAAGGATATGGTAAGCTGGAAGCTTATGAATAAGCTTGTAAGCTGATGAAAATCTTTTCAGAAACCCATCCCTCTCCACCAATGAATGTTACTGTTGATCAGATTAAAGAGAAGAGGTAAGATAAGATCAATCTTAATCTTGTACCATTGTCGGTACAATCTTGTTAATCTCCGTTGCCACGATCAGATTCTTCACTTTTAAACGAATATAGTAATTGAGAGCTAAAACTACCGTATTTCTTCGAATAGAAGACCGGGTAAAGAGTATGATCGCGTACTCCTGCGTAGCAGCCCTTTTTAAAATTTCTTTTCTGCATAAAAGCTTTCAATGAAGTGCTATAGAGCTGGAAAGTGGCTCAAAAATCTGTTAGCTCATGTGGTATTTTTGAGTCATTTTCCAGCTCTATAGCACTTCATTGAAAACTTTTATGCAGAAAAGAAATTTTAAAAAGGGCTGCTACGCAGGAGTACGCGATCATACCCTTTACCCGGTCTTCTATTCGAAGAAATACGATAAGATAAGACAAAACAGAAGACTTCTCTTTAGCGTTGTCATCTCATGGAGTGATCCGGCTGCAAACAGTCATCTTGTCGAGAGTTTCACGATACTTTTAAAGAGGAATCTTCATGGAGCTGAAATTAAACGAGTGAGTACATACCGTAAATACTGTAATAGTACCCCAGCCCCATAATGACGGTGCGGAGTGTTGCGTAGTCTAGCTTTGGATGCGTTTTTCTCGACACTGGTTTATGCTACAATGCTCGCTTAGGTATCAAAAAATAGCTGAAATTCAGGGCTATTTTTTGATACCAAAGACGAATTTTTTGAAAGTACGGGTGCTTTGCAAATGAAATACTAAAAAACTTTTGCGACTACGCGACTGTACGAGGGGGGTACTATTACAGTATTTACGGTAGCTGGATTTTCATTGAATTTGATTTCAATTTCAGTTTGAAAACGTGACCTCACCCTATAAAATCGACGATTTGGAAATGGATGCCTCATACACGGTTTCTGTCAAATCTCACTCATTCAAAGGCACCTCACTCCCATCGACTGCAATTCTTTTCCAAACCGCTCCACCAATGGATCAAGTTTGCCCAATAGGTAGATGATTTAAAGCTAAGCGAAAAGCTTCATCTCAAACTTCATCTCAAAGCCAAATTTTCCAGGTGAACCCTTGTTACTTGATAGTGGAGCTCGTTTCCGATGCTCTGACAACTCTCCATGCCCTCTTAGCTACACTTGCACAGAATTTGATGACTCTGGATATTGCTGTTTACAACGTATTCATCAAATTTAGGAAATCATTATTAGGAACTTTCTTTTAGAAAGCGAAACTTCAACAGATTTCCATTCGTGTTGCTCGAGTCGATCACTGAAAGATGAATGCCTTGAAACATGTCTCTACAATTCGACATCTTTCCCGGAAACTTGCATCTCGCATTTGAATACGGTAAATAGATTAAAGAAGACAATGTTTAGATTGTTTAGTGGGTTCAATGCGGATCTGAGGGACATGATCATAGTAGATGTTGTGAACAGAGTGGATTACCGAAAGAGTGCATGACTGGATGCAGACATCCATTCGAGGTTAGTGAAAGATTTCTTTTTTCTGAGTTTCCACTTTAGCTACCTGAAAATTGCTCTACTTATACGGAAAAACTTCGATACTGTTTCGCCACCCATTTATCGAGACAACCGACACTTGTCAAGAATCTGCACACAGTGCGAGTTGGAGAGAAGAATGTGGTGCTTGTATGGGATGCATCAATGAATGCGAATGAATACGAAGTTCAGGTGGGTTTAGAATTATGAACTATGGAGAATCCTTTAAATTGAATTTTGACCTAAGTTGAGTAAGCTAAACTAAGCTGAAATCCTTTCAATCTCAGCTCTTCGACATTGACAATACAACAAGGAGAAAGAATGTGACAAAACCGAGATACGAGATCACTGATCTAGCACCAGGACGGGAATACAAGGCTCGAGTGATCGCGTTCAATGTGGCTAGTAGCAGTCCACCATCGTGGAACATTAGCTTCATAACACTACCTGAAGGTCAGGAAATTGCAGAGTATTTAAACGGATTCATGTTTAGATTCAATTGCGAACGAACCTTTGGCTCCATCGGGTTTAAAAATCGTTTGGAATTACGGAACTCGAGTTAATGTCACATGGCAAAAAGTGAACAAGAAGATGGATGGATCAGCGTTGGGAGGGAAACCCGAGTACGCTGTCAGCTATATTTGTTCAGACCATGATAATACATGGGCTGTGGTGAGTGATCAATCTTTTATCAATCTAATAGAATGATTACTGTAGTTTATAAGAAGGTTATTGTAATTACTGATCAAATAGAATGATTACTATAGTTTATAAGAAGGTTATTGTTAATACTGATCAAATAGAATGATTACTATGGTTTATAAGAAGGTTATTGTTAATACTGATCAAATAAAATGATTACTGTAGTTTATAAGAAGGTTATTGTAATTACTGATCAAATAGAATGATTACTATGGTTTATAAGAAGGTTATTGTTAATACTGATCTGAATAAAATGATTATTATAGTTTATAAGTCTAAATTTAGCGAAATGAGCTTTATTCTGAGGTATTTCATTTGGTGTGTTGATCTTTCTGGGCAACTTTCTTTCGGGAAATTCTTCGCGTATTTCAATAGAATCGGTTTTTTAGATTAAAACGAATGAAACTTGGGTAGTGTTGACGCATTTGATCGAGGATAAAAGATATTTGGTGTATGTGGTGGCCACAGTGAAAGGACAACCATCAAAGAGCTCATCAGTGATCACCATTCTTGCGCAACAAGGTTAGCAACAGGGTTTGATTTCTAAAATCAAATTTCAATCATTTGCTAAAACGAGATAATAATCAAAAAATCCTTAAAAATCCATTAGAGTATTGAAAAAAGACCGTTCTTTATTTGAAAAGCAAAAGACAATTGCCCACTGTCAGGATTGAACTGACGACCTTCTGTTTACGAGACAGACGCTCTGCCACTGAGCTAAACGGGCACGTCGAAAGCTCAAAAAAAAATCCTTTATACTTCTTCATTGAAGGAAACGAGTATTTCAAGTTGTTCAAACAATTTCTCTTTTCCGAACAATCTCTTTTAAGATCCCTTTTAAGCCCTCCAAAGAGCGCCCGTCCGACAGCCCTTATAGCTCAGTGGTAGAGCGTTGGTCTTGTAAACCAAAGGTCGGCGGTTCAATCCCGCCTGGGGGCAGCAACTTTTTGGATTTTAACATTTGGAAGTAAAAAAAAATATAGATAAATGAATGTTTAGATTCAATGGGTTTGCCAGAGCCGACAATAAAACTGATGCCAAATGAAGGAGTGTACAAGATTGGGGAGAAGATCACCGTTGAGTGCAGTGTTGAAACGAATGAGAAAAATCTTAGTATCGAGATTACGTCTGCTGGAAAAAGAGTTTGAATTGTAAAGTTTCAAGAAATTTCGTCTATTTAGTTCCATAACGATCGACAAATGAATTTCCTTTCTAAAGAGATCGAGATATCAAAGGAAATCGATACAATCGCTTGTTTGGTTTCGGATAAAGATGGACGACAAAATGTGCAAATGAGAAATATCGTTATTATATGTGAGTTGATTGAAAGTTCGATAGCAATTCGAAATTTATCGCTTAACTTTCTTTTTATCGGTAATAAAACTAGTTTATAGTAAAATTATAATGGTTTTTTTCTGGAATTAGGCTAAATTCTTCAATCCAATCGGAGATTTCGCTTAATCCATTAAATATTCATTAAATATGCCATTAAATATTCCATTAAATCTCCATTAAATATACCATTAAATATTCCATTAAATATTCCATTAAATATTCATTAAATATTCCATTAAATATGCCATGAAATCTCCATTAAATATACCATTAAATATACCATTAAATATACCATTAAATCTCTATCAAATCTCCATTAAATCTCCATTAAATCTCCATTAAACATCCATAAAATATCCATCAAATATTCAGTTGGTCCAATCCTTCAAGTGGATCGAGGAATCGTGCATGCTTTTGATGATATGAGTGCCCGAATCTCTTGCACAGTTTCCGGATTTCCAATTCCAAATGTTCATTTTGAAAAGGTATAGACAAAAGATATAGATAAAAAAAAGATGTAGACAGAATAAAATTAAGAAGATTCCTATCCTTTCAGGACTCAAAATCGATTGGACATGGTCACGGTGAGGAAATCAAAATTCGAAACCCGTCCATTCACACCTATCAATACACGTTGATTGTAGGTTTTCAGCAAAAAAAAATCAAATAATAGCACAAGTTAAATGCAGCTTCGAAATGCAACGAATCAAGCCGGTCTCTATCATTGTATCGCTGAGAGAAACGGGACACACAGCGAGGGAATCATCGAGCTCATTACCGAGAAACCGGTTAGTCTTCAATTCAACTGAAAGATTGATTTAAAATCAAACTTCAAAAATTTCAATTTAGATTGAACTTCCGGTGAATCCTCGTAAGATTTTCAATTGTTGCAAAGAAAAAGGAATCACTGGTGATTGCCTTGAGGCGTGTGCTATTGGAAAGGTGAAAGTTTTTGAGATAAAATTTGATTTAGATTGTTTTATTCTATTTTTCTTTAGGTTGCGAGCAATTTGACTTGTAAAGAGCATGCAAAATCAATGTTGAAATGCGCAGATGATGTGAGAGATCACAGTGATTGTTGTGTGATGAAAGGTGTCAAAGGACGATGTTTGGCGTTATGTTCGGGAGATTCGGTGGCTGAGAATGTCGACTGTACACAGGTGAAACGCCATTTTAATGCACTCGATTCTAATCCTTGTTTACACTACAAATAAACTAATAGAAAGATAGCATAGATAAGAAGAATTCCAGAAGAATGGTAGCGCCAGATCAGAACACTTTCAGAGCACAGTACAAAGCACAAAGTACACTTCAAAAGTCTAAGCAGTCTAAACAAAACTTTCTTGAACCAAATTAGATATGTTTACATTTCGTTTAGCCCAAAGAACAGTTGAAGAACAGTATCAAATCGATTTAGTACGCTCTTCCAATCATGGAATCCTTCATAATCAGTCACGAATCCAGCCCACAACAACCACAAAATCTCGACTATAAACCAATCGATCCCAGAGCCCCATCCCTGATTTTACTCTTCTCCAGAAGGATCTTGATTCGATCTTGATTTGATCTTGATTTGATCTTGATTTGATCTTGATTCGATCTTGATTCGATCTTGATTCGATCCTTCTGTGGAGTAAATTTTGAAAACTTAACATTGCGCCGGACAAATGCAAACACGTTACATTTGGTTCATTACATATCCCTTTAAATTTCGGGGACCTACAATTACCACAAGGATTGGCCGATAATCCTGTAAAAGATCTTGGTATACTGTTAGTTTTCTCTCTAAAATTCGATCCTCACATAAGCTACATTTCCAAAAAAGCTTCTAGAATTTCTAACATAATTCTTCGCGCAAAGTACACTTTAAAGTCTAAACAAGGCTTTCTTAAACCAGATTAGATGTGTTTACACTTCGTTGAGCTCAAAGAACAGTTGAAGAACAGTATCAAATCGATTTAGTATGCTCTTCCAATCATGGAATGCTTCATAATCAGTCACGAATCCAGCCCACAACAACCACAAAATCTCGACTATAAACCAATCGATACGAATAAGATTCGAGTAAGTAATTTGAAAATTTTAAATAATAAATAGCTTAATTATTTATTTATCCTATTTAAGGTGACATGGGGTGATCCATCTGCCGCGAACAACTTGGTCTTTTACGCTATCTACTATAAGAAAAGAGATACTGAGGGTAAAACTAATCGATCTCATAAATACAGTAATGGACAATGAAATATGATATTTGAAAAACGATCGTCACTTTCGCGCGTCTGTAACTCCCTTGTTTTTCAGTTTAAACTATTAGTGTTATATATTTTCTGAAAGCTCTTTTCAAGGGCTACACAATGGTAAATATTAATATTTACAAATACGGTAAAGACAAGGGAGCTACAGACGCGCGAAAGTGACGATCTTTCTTCAAATATCATATTTCATTGTCCAGTAGTGTACTTTCCATGTCTAATTCTCAACTTTCCCCCATTTACTTTATGTTTTTCAAGATTTCTAACACTGAGATCTTGTCTTAGTTAATTTCCGTTGATTTCTATTCATTTTTAATACTATCTACACTACTGGACAATGAAATATGATATTTGAAAAACGATCGTCACTTTCGCGCGTCTGTAACTCCGTTGTCTTTGCGTTTAAACAATTAGTGTTATACATTTTCTGAAAGCTCTTTTTAAGGGCTACACAATGGTAACTATTAATATTTACAAATACGGTAAAGACAAGGGAGCTACAGACGCGCGAAAGTGACGATCTTTCTTCAAATATCATATTTCATTGTCCAGTAGTGTACCTTTCAAATGGAATACATAAATTATCTTTAGAAAGATTATTATATTAAATATCAGATGATTTCACAATGGTGAAGACGGCAACACAATCGGTGGAACTCAAAGTAGACTCAGAGAGCACTTATGAAATTGGAATCATCGCCGCCAACGCCTTTGGCCATTCACCAATCAAATTCTTGACATCTTCTCCATTTACTTACAGTATGTAGCCAACTTATTGTAACTATTTACCTATTTTGAAATATTCTCATTTAGGTCGATCGGATAGTAACAACTCGTTCCTCTATATCGTCTTCTTATTGGTGGCTTGCAGCATTGTAGTCATTGGTCAGTCTAGATCAGTCAAAAATTCAAAAATCTATTCCAGGTATTATGCTTCTCGGAAAGAGAAAAAATTTGGTGCCCGCTATTTTCAAAAGACAGCAATTCAACAACAATGATCCAACCGTAGCTTTTGAGAATCCTGCGTGAGTTCTTCATTACATAGATCTAAAAGATTGAGCTATAGATCTTAACTTTTCTAGTTTGCTGATCAAGCTGTTCATTACAAAGATTGATTTAAAAGATTAAACTGTAGCCTTTTCTAGTTTGCTGATCAAGCTGTTGATCACCAGGATTGATTTAAGAAGATTGAGCTATAGATCTTAGCTTTTCTAGTTTGGCGATCAAGCTGTTCATTACAAAGATTAATCTAAAAGATTGAGCTATAGACTTGAAACTTTTCTAGTTTTCTGATCAAGCTGTTGATCACAGCTAAAAGCATGATTGCTTAAAGAGTTAGTACAATTCTTTAATTGTAAATGTTGAACTGTTTGTTTAAAGCTTTAATCTAATCATTTCAGCAGAAAGCTTTTAGTTTCAACAGCGAGGTGGAGATTCGCGGTCTAGGTGATGGGGGTGCGCGAGCAGAGCGCGAGACCGACTGGCACAGTCAAGATCTGCAGGCACGTCGTATTTGCTAATCCCGTTTACAAATGTTTACACGTATTCACAACATATCAACAAATATAAATCACAACACCAATTCACAATATATCAATGAATAAATGAATCTCAAATATCTATAGACGCTTATCTGGAACATCTGAGAAAAGTGAGTTGTCTGGGTAAAGCCGTTTTGTTGCCCGATCGGAGTCCAGCATTCATTCTATATGAATTTAAACTTAAATGCAAAGTTTATATGCATCTTTTTCTTTTGAATAACGTTTAGATTCAGATATAATTTATTAATAACTATTAATAACTTTCAAAAATTTAGCCTTCTAATGCAACGGATCGAAATGGAATGCGATACTCAAAATTGGAAACATAATTTTTATTTCCATGCTCAATTTTCATATTTATCTATCTTTTTCAAGATTTGCAATCAAAAAAAAAAACGATTTTTTTGAAAAGAAATATGGGTCCAAAAGCTGAACTTGTTTTCTCAGCTGAATATCTTTTTTTCTCTCTTTGCTTGTTGTAAAAGTGAATACTGTGTTCTGCATTGTGACGGGTGAGCATTATTCTTTTTTTCTTCGATAATGAGATTTTTCTTTGAGTTATTGACGATTTGTGATGGTGAATAAAGTGTTTGAACTCAAAGAAAAGCACAGGAATCCAGAGAGCTGTCAAAATCAAACAGAACGGGAGAATTGATCACAGAAAAGCAGAATCAAGTTGATTTTGAAATCTAGTACTTACAAAACTATCTTGAATTTAAATAACAGCTTTAAAATGACAGCTTAGCTTAACATTATCAAAAAGGCAGATTCTCGAGATAACATACAGCATGTGGTTGATGACTGTGGTTGATGACTGTGGTTGATGACTCTGGTTGATGACTCTGGTTGATGACTGTGGTTGATGACTGTGGTTGATGACTCTGGTTGATGACTGTGGTTGATGACTGTGGTTGATGACTCTGGTTGATGACTGTGGTTGATGACTGTGGTTGATGACTCTGGTTGATGACTCTGGTTGATGACTGTGGTTGATGACTCTGGTTGATGACTCTGGTTGATGACTCTGGTTGATGACTGTGGTTGATGACTGTGGTTGATGACTGTGGTTGATGACTGTGGTTGATGACTAGCATAACTGTGGTTGATGTAATGTTTCTTAGTCTTTGCTTAGTATTGTTACTGTTTTATTGCTATTGCTACTTATCTTACTAAGATCGCTAATCGAATAAAAAAAGATTTATATCAAAAGCAGAGTTTTCTTGATTTTCTGATCTTCTTTACTTTTAAACTTTTATATCTTCACTTCCAAAACCTTTATCCCATTTGTTTTCTGTTTGTTTATAGCTTTGACCATCTTCTAAGTTGTAAAAGTGAATACTGTGTTTTGCATTGTGAGCATTATTCTTTTCTTTGAGTTATTGACGATTTGTGATAGTGAATAAAGTCTATAAACTCAAAGAAAAGCACAGGAATCCAGAGAACTGTCAAAATCAAACAGAATGGGAGAATTGATCATTGAATTGATCACAGAAAAGCAGAATCAAGTTGATTTTGAAATCTAGTACAAAACTTACTTACTTACACTCACTGACAACTATCTTGACTTACACTTACAACTTACACTTACACTTTAATCATTTACAAAACTATCTTGAGTTTAAATAACAGCTTTAAAATGATAGCTTTAACTAGCTTAACGTTATCAAAAAGGCAGATTCTCGAGATAACATACAGTTATTTTATATTTTTTATTTAGTTCCTATTTGGTTACTGTATAGTTCCTATTTAGTTCCTATCTAGTTCCTATTTGGTTACTTCATAGTTCCTTTATAGCTCCTTTATAGTTCCTTTATAGTTCCTTCCTTATTAACCCCCTAACAACCCATTTAGTTCCTATTAAGTTCCAATTCCAAATCAATATCATTTATATTATTAATAATTAAAAATTAATAAAAAAAATCTCCAATAATTGTCCCTTTAAAATCCCTTAAAAACTATTAAAAAATTTCATATAAATTTTAAGTTTCCATTAAAAATATCTTTATTTTATGTTCCTTTAAAATTCTTAATTTGTCCCAACTAGTTCCTATTTAGTTCCTTTATAGTTCCTTTATAGTTCCTTTATAGTTCCTTTATAGTTCCTTTATAGTTCCTATTTAATTCCTTTATAGTTCCTATTTGGTTCCTTTATAGTTCCTATTTAATTCCTTTATATTTCCTTTATAGTTCCTATTTGGTTACTAACTGTAGTTGATGTAATGTTTCTTAGAATTTTCTTAAAAGTATTATCTTATTGCTATTGTTAACTATCAGAAAAAAAGATTTGTAAAGAGTTCTTTTTTGAATTGACTGTGATTCCCGCATAAACAAAGCGACTTTACTTTAAACTTTAAATATCTTCACTTCCAAAACTTTTTATCCCATTTGTTTTCTGTTAGTTTATAGCTTTACCTATTCTTCCAAACTTCTAGATCTCTGCTCTCCATTTCAAAATCCTTTTCAACCTCTTGTGTACAATTCTGTCAGAAATGTCTGACTTGCACCTCACGGATTTCTCTCTTTTCTTTTCTTTTCTTTTCTTTTCTTTTCTTCTCCTATTTTCAGTCTCATTTTTGACATCTCCATGTAATTCTTTCAATGATTTCATTTATTAAAAACATTATCTATTTCTGGATCTTATTTTTGCAATTTTTGCCAGCTTATTCCGAAGTATTGCCTCAACATCATGCACCCGAGTTTCCATTGTTTAGTAAGTGAAAGCTTAAATGCTTTTAGACTAGAGCTCTAGCTTTTAGACTAGAGCTCTAGAGTTAAGTACTCTATAGAGTACTTAAAAATATAGAGTCTAAAGTTAAAAGCAAAAGAAAGCTAGAGTCTGGACTGAGCTACGAAATCATCGCTTGATTAAATCTATGCCAATCTTGCTCTGGCTCTCTTTGGCTTCTTTATTTACTACTTTTTCTAACATTTCTATAGTTGATTCTATCACAAATCAAGAAATAATATAATATTTTTGTTTTTAGCACTCTTATTTGAATACTTTATAAGATAAACTTTAGATCTAAGCTCTTGGAAACCATCAACAAAACTCGACTTTATCGATGAAGGAATCGCTCCACCAGATGGTTAGTGTACAGGAAATTGTTGTTTTTTTTGATGATACAACTTAAATCAAATTGAGAATTTCAAAAAAGGAAATCAAATCTTGCACATTTTTTTTGTCTATTTTCAGCTAATTCAAACTCATCAACCCGTCCTGATGAGTTTTTGGCAAACGAGGCAAGTCGAGAGTTTAAAAGCGAGGTATCATTTTGCGAGATTGATAAAATAATTAGATTTATGATTAGATTCAATTAGATAATGATGACAATAAGTTTAAAAAGAAAATTTAAAAGCGAGGTATCATTTTGCGGGATTAACAAAATTTAATTAGATTTATTTAAATAATGATAACAATTGTAAGTTTTAAAAAGAAAAACATCCTTTTACAGGTGTGGATAGTTGTTGTCCTTTGTATGCTTCTTTGCTTGGCCATGCGACATGCAAACGACTTTTATTCGGGTGAAGCGGTGGGTTTTACAAAAGAATTTCCCTTCTTCTTCCCCTTTCCTCAATCAGCTAAAGGATTGAGTGCATTAGAAAGGTTTTTTTTTTCGTTTTTTCGTTTTTTCGACTTGTTAAGCAAAAAGTACATCATACAATTTTATAAAAATCATTTTCAAATCTCTCAAACCTTTCAAATCAATTTTCTATTGTTTCAAATGTTCTAGTCAATTTTCAGACCACTTTGGTTCCAGAAGGCTACTCGTTGGGTCGATTCAAACACAGAGGAGTCGAAGAAAAGAAAAAGTTTGTCTAATAATTTGAAAATTAAACTATTTAGATGTTATAAATTCTAGATATGAATCTCGTGTTGAACGAGATTTCAAACAAATGGAAAAGAAAATTCTCAAAGGAGAAGCTGAAGCGAAAACGAGACGATTGATGAAAAATCGAGTATCAACTGACACAGAAATACTAGCTGAAATTTAAATTTCAAATAAAGTGCTTTGAGATTTCAAATTTATTAAGCCCAATTCGAGAATATGGAAAGAATATGGAAAGACATTAAAAAAAGCGCTGTTTCTTCTAGAAACGAAATCATTAACATAGTTTACAACTTTTCCCACAGAATTTCATCTTTTGTCGTGTTGTGTAAAGGGTTGATTGACAAAAGCCTTCAGCTGCCCACTCAGCACAATCCGTTCGACGATCTCGGCACTCGATCTTCTCGCCTAACTGAAAATTGCATTTTTTTAAAATGATTTTTAGCATTGTTAGTATTGTTGTACTTATTGTTAGTATATAAAGCAACTATAGCTAGCTCAATGGTAGAGAATCTGTTCGGTAAGCAGAAGGTCGAGAATTCAGCAGAAGACTTAGTGCGAAGGCTAGCGGCTAGCGCCTCGCACTAAGTCTATTTGGGTTTGGGCTGAACCCCCATTTTCTGAATCTCAGCCAGTTCCTGGAGCTAAGGGACACCCGATTGCCCTTAAGCTTAAGCTTAGGCTTAGACGTAGGCTTAGGCTTAGGCTTATAGAAGCTTCTTATAGAGACTTATAGAAACTTCTAGGAACATTGTTATTCTGGCTTTTTGTAAGACACAAGGCTGGATTTCTTACTTTGTTGAAAACTCACGATAAAATGACATCGAGCACAAGTCTTTGAGCATTGCCTTGTCATGAAATCCTTGTATCCCCGTCGATCACAGAGCTCTGCTTTACAATTACTCAAGGAATCAGTACAGTTCAACTCGGGAGTCAGAATGCCTAGAATTAAATGAAAATAAATTAGACAAAGAAAGTTACAGCAGAAATTGTTGAAGCAAGTGTGACCTTCTGGACATTGACCGCTGATGCATTCTAGAATTGCAGATTTTGAGTTTTGAAGTTATTCGAATGAAATTTGTTAAACATGAAAGCTGTACTTCAATTCTCAAACCTCCAATCGGTCCCCCAACAGGGCAATGCTGTTTCTCTTCTTCTGTTGTTGTATCAGCTTCAGTTGTCGTTGATGGAGTTGTTGTTGTCGTTGTTGTTGTTGCTGTTGTTGTCGGTTTTCTCGTTGAGGTGAGACTAGAGAACTTTGTGCTTGTACTCATTGTGCTTGTTGTCATCTCTTCAGTTGTTTCTTCAACTTCTTCCGATTTCTCTTTTGTCTCTTTTTCTTCTTCTTCTCCATCCTCTTCTGAATCCAATTTCTCTTGAACAGTTGTTGTTGATGGTTGAAGCTGAAAGAAAGTTTAAGATTGACTTTGATAGAACCAGATTTCACAATCTTACAGAGCTAAGAAAGTTCAAAGCAAGATTGAAAGAGAGAATGTTAGCTTGCCGAACTGTTCTTTACAAAGAGCTTTGGGTTTCTAATTTTAATTCTAGTAATTCCATTCCAGAATTCTAATTGTAACTCTAATCGATTCCAATTTGAAAGTAACCAAACTTGCTGAATTCTTGAAAGATTTAACTCAAGCTCAAGCTGAAGATGAGTTTTTCGAGATAAAACTCAATATGATTGTTGATTAGTTGTCAATCCCTACCGTAGTTGTGTTCATCTCAACTTTCGTCGTTGTAATCCATTTTGATTTCATCTTTTTCTCCAATAATTCCTTCAACTTTTGATATTCCTTTTTCAATTGTTCAATCTCATTTTCTTCCGAATCTTCGGTGATAACTGAATTTCAATTCTATATTTCTATTCATTTCTATCATTTAAATCCCATGAAACAAACCATTTTTCGTGATTTCCTCTTGACTCCCAGTATTAGTCAATTTTTCAGTTGTTAATGGTGTAGTAAAGGATTCAGTCGTTCTCACAGGTTTCAATGTAAAAACACGCACGTTATTCAAGATTTCTAAAGTCAATTAGTAAGAAAGTTAACTATTTTTTGCAAAGTTTTTTTCATGCACAACCTGTTTTGTTTCCTTTACTACGATCTCTCGTCAATTTACCTGTTTTATTAAAAGAAAAGAGTGAACCAAAGAGAAATTGACAGACCAAACTTACTACAACACTTCGAGTCCTCGCAAATATAACCATCAGGGCAAGTGTCCGAGATGCATTCTGAAAAGAAGCCACTTTTTTTTTTGTTCAATTTCGCACTTTTACTGGAGATTTCTTTTTGGATGGTTTAGTCGATTTTAAACTTAAATTCGATATGCCAATTTACTCACCTCCAATAGCATGATACCCACTCGCGCACGTTCCATACTCGGGACTTCCCTCTTCTTCAATCTCCTCTTCTTTTGTCGATGACTCGGATCTTTTCGTTTTACCTAGAAATTGATGTTCTTGTTTTTTTGCATTCACTCACAACAGAAGCTTCCAATGCATTCCGAACCAGCAGGACATAAACCAGCTAAGCAAGCTAAACAAAAATCATTAAGGTTCACTATAAGTCCAACAATGAAACACGCCACTCCGTTTAGAATCTGCCAGAATGCCTGTTCTCAATTTGAGCTCAAAGAACTGTCTCACCTCCTATCGACAGCCTCTTCATTGGACAATTCCCGTCATACAGCCTACTGTAGCTGAGTGGTAAAAGTAATAACAATAGTAGTCTCATCATTGAAATTAGAAATGAAATTAGAACTGAAATTGGTGGACAATCGGGTCGAATCGTCGATGAATATGTAAATCGAGTATAAACAGATTTTGTGCAAAGAAAGAGAGACTCGTGACTTTGACCATTTGCATGATCTATGCCAAATGATGAGCAATTTGGTAGAGCAAACAAATGGTGTGCAGAGGTGCCTTTTCCCAAAGAAACCTTATAATAAAGTCCAGGTATTAGTCTAAAAGAAAGCTTCTCGCATATCAAATACATAATTAAATCATTTTTCCTATTGAATTAAACTAGCACAGAAATTAGCATTTGTATTTTCGCTCAGATTGTTTGTAAATTACATTTCTAAAAGAAAATTTTAAAAAATCATAGTTGGGTGGAAGACCCGGGAATCGAACCCGGATCGTGTGGGTCCTAGTAAACCGCCCTCCCGACTGCGCCACGGCGACAAGAGAAGCCTGAAGCCGACAAGGGAAGACGGCAAGGGAAGCCCGACAAGGGACGGCGGGTTTTTCTAGTTGGATTTTTTGTCCCCATGCCTCATGTGGCCATGGCGCAACGGGGAACGCGGTCTTCTACCACCCACACGGCTCGGGTTCGACACCGGTAGTGCCACTCGATCTTGATTTTTTTTATTTTTTGACTCTAGATAGCACAACTACAATATATTATAAGATTTTCTAAAGAAGTTTTAACTTTATTGGTTCAAATACAGCTGAGAAAATGGCTGTATGAACAAACAGACAGACTTTTATATAGTAGATAGATCCAGATCGAACAATCCAACTGGACACGAGAAGAATCAAGATTTACCCAACTTTACTAACGAATTAAAGTGGTTTATTGAGTGTTAAAAATAGGAATAACGAAGATGAAAGCCTGAGCAAATCGATATGACTAAAGGAAATGAATCCAGAGGAATCCTGTAGCAGAATGCCCCTCTTGTCCCATGTAAGGATGTTGTCCCGAAATGTTGACAGTCCCCTTCTTTCCCCCACTTGCACTCATCTCCCCTCTCGATCAACACTCAGCTATTATATCTCGAATCGAGCCCCTTTTTGTCTTTCATCTTTTTTTTTTCATCTCTTCAGTTTCTAGTAGTGGTTATTTTTGTGTAAAAATGATTCTCAATGAGGTCTCCGCAACAGTTTTGTGTTTTAAGAATGCTCAAAATAGATATCAACCTAGTTTTTTTTTATTTTTTAATAAGAAACTCTGCTTATTAATAAAAATAATGTGTTTTATTCTGAAAAACTCTCGTAATCTTCTCTTTAGATTCTCTCTCTTAACCCATTCAATTCATAATTTGATTTCTTAAATGAGATCATTACATTACATTTCTAAAATGAAAATTTTTAAAAATGATAGTTGGATGGAAGACCCGGGAACCGAACCCGGATCGTGTGGGTCCTAGTAAACCGCGCTCCCGACTGCGCCATGGCGAACAGTGGAAGCTTTTCAAGGGAGGCCTCACAAGGGACGGCGGGTTTTTCTAGTTGGTTTTTTTCGCAAAGGCGATGTCGCCGTGGCGCAATGGGGAAGTCGGTTTTCTACCATCCATTAATAAAAGTAATGTGTTTATTCTGAAAAACTCTCGTAATCTTCCCTTTAGATTTTCTCTCTTAACCCATTCAATTCATAATTTGATTTCTTAAATGAGATCATCGTTTAGTAGAATGAATATTCTAAAGATAATGGTATTTTTCTAAGCTATCTACTGGTTAGAGAAAGAAACTGAAGCTATCTACTTGTTAGAGAAAGAAACTACTTACAAGAAACACATTGTACATTCTAATGATAAGTAAATTTACGCTTTTAATGGTGAAAATGAAGAATTAGAGTGCATTCAGGGTCACTTTTTTTTTTTTGCTTTAAACTTCAGTATTACATTGTTCACTCTGATGGTGAATTGGTAGCTCTTTTTTATTGCTATTCACTATAGTCACTCAAAATACTCGTACAAGATTGAGAAATCAAAAAGACGAACGAATTGTGATAAAAGATTGATGAAATAAAAGAAATAAGAAATGGGGAATGACAATGACCCGAATTAAATGAATTGGCGAAAGAAATTACAAATGAAATTCTTATTTTAATATTAGGAAAATATAAAAAGAAGATCTAAACAGTTTCATCGGATTCAATCGTTGATAATCGATGAATTGGTCGAGTCCAAATCGGACTCGCCGCCCATTTCGCTGGAATCTTCTCGTGAGTGGCGATCATTGAAGCTTTATGCTAAAAAAATTTTTACTTTAAAGCTTTCTAATGGTATTATTCTTGGCTAGAGTTTGATGGTTAATGGAATCCATTTCAAATAACTTGTGCTAAATGTTTGAAATAAGAAAACCAATAGAATTTGCCTTTCTAGTGCATCAATTTTGTTTAGCTTCAATTTATAAACGAAAAAAAGTGTGTACTTTCTTGTGAATCAATCTCAAAGTCTTTACTCACCAAAAACTCAGAATATTGTGCTTCATTGAGTGTCCTCAATCGTCCATACGCTTTAATTGCAATAAAAGCGTTTGTCGATAGGAGACAAAATGAGGCGAATAGCATTAAAAGAGTGTAAATATCGATTGAAAACCCGTAAACATACAACCAATAAGCGGTGGCCAAACAGAAAAGAAGCTGCAAATTTATTCATTTTGATCTTTATTACTGTATTTTCTCTAATAGTACTGCACCCTGAGCGTCGTCTAAATTCCTCGAAATCTCGAGAACCGCTTATGAGAACCTATCGATGTGGGGTCGGAAAATGTAGCTGATGATGAGATCTTGTGAGGGATTAGAGTGTTGAGCTTCTGGGAAAAATTGGAAACCGTAAAATAGGCTCGGTGCGGTGCACTACTATAGAGAATACGGTAATGTTTGACGGCAAGACGAGACTTGAAAGCTTGCCACCGTAATGGTAGATATAATGACTTCAATTCGTCCAGTGAACGATTCAATTTAAACGAGCTAATATCGTATTTTTTCTAATAGTACTGCACCCTGAGCGTCGTCTAAATTCCTCGAAATCTCGAGAACCGCTTATGAGAACCTATCGATGTGGGGTCGGAAAATGTAGCTCACGATGAGATCTTGTGGGGGATTTGAGTGTTGAGCTTCTGCAAAAGCTTGGAAACCGTCAAATAGGCATCAACTCGGCTCGCTGGGGTACACTACTATTAGAGAAAATAAGGTAAATAGAAAAGAAAATTTGACTTTAAATCTTAGTTTTTCTATTTTCAATTAAACTTTTGATTGTTTAAAGCAAATGGGAATAACAATAAACTTTGAGAAATTGTTTCTTATACTAGTTTTGATTCATTTTGTGATTGGTCGACTTGCTAAAAACCCTGTATTCAGCAGGTCGAGGGTTCTAGATTTCTTCTTTGTTTCTAGATTATTGCTTCTTTCCTATCTATGGGGATTTTTTCCCTAAAGTGTTTTAGGCTTTGTATTGTTTGTATCACATTATTCCTGTGAATAGATCTATTTTTAAGAGTCAGAAGCTCACCGTTACAGTCGATGAGATGATGACGGGCTTCAGATCGATCCCAGGGCGCTCATCGGGAATCAAACGATCTTCTTGTGATTGAAAGTGCACCACTGTGTCCAACACTGAGGCTGTCATTATGCTGAAAATTGAAATCATTGAGATAATCAATATCGATTTGTAAAGAGAAGAAAGAAAGGTTTTTGAGAAGTTCAATGAAATTTGAATAAAAGAACACCCACGGTTATCATTGCCCAGAAATAGACACCTCATCGCAAAAGAAAACATTGAGGTCAGGAAAAAGAAAAGAGATTTCTGTGGGTGGGGAATGGGTGATGCTTGTTGCTCGTTTGTTTAAGATCAAAAGGGGATTGAATGACGTCATTGATCGGGTTCTGGTCGAGAGAAATCAAGTGACAACTTTGTTTTGATTGTTTTTTTCAAGCTTTTGATCAAAGTAACAATGATGACTTTGAAATGAGAAAGTTTCATTTCAAAGCTGTAATCTGTAAAAGTCAGCTTATTAGGTAGACTTTTGGAAGGATATTTGAATGAAATCATCGATTCTGACCAAGTTCTAAAGTCAATTTTGGATTATTTTTAGAGGAAAAAGGTTGAAAAAGAAAAATTAAACGGTAAAACAACGGTTATTATTTCTAGAAACCTTTAAAGGTCTCTAAGATCCTTTAAAGCTCTTCCAACTGTCTTACAGTCAAATTCCTCCCAAAAAAAAAGACTAAAAAACCATTCAGGATTGTCTATTCATTTAAACTTTAATTTAGTTTTTGAAAGTAAGACAGTTGGAAGAGCTTTAAAGGATCTTAGAGACCTTTAAAGGTTCTAGGAATAATAACCGTATTTTTACCGTTTAATTTTTCTTTTTAAACCTTTTTCCTCTAAAAATAATCCAAAATTGACTTTAGAACTTGGTCAGAATCGATGATTTCATTCAAATCTCCTTCCAAAAGTCTACCTAATAAGCTGACTTTTACAGATTACAGCTTTGAAATGAAACTTTCTCATTTCAAAGTCATCATTGTTACTTTGATCAAAAGCTTGAAAAAAAACAATCAAAACAGAGTTGTCACTTGATTTCTCTCGACCAGAACCCGATCAATGACGTCATTCAATCCCTAAAACAGATTTTTAAAATATAATAACCAATCTAATAAGCTTTTATCGCTTTGCAACGAAAACTTAAAAACAAAAATTGAATGAATTTTGCAAGTAAATTCCGAAGGGATGATTCATAAAAATCTCTCTGAAATGTAAGAAATTAAAGGCTGATGTCATATGGCCTTTCTTTTGTGTTCATTCATTCAGGGGGGAAAGGCAATGAGTCATCAATAGGCTATTTCAATTCCCCTTTTCTTCTCAGCTCAATAAATATTCATTAAAATCAAATTCATTTTCATTAAATCATTAAATGAATAAATCCTTTGGCTTTTAGAAAAAAAAAACTACTTTAAAAATGAATACAGAACTTTTATTTTTTCAAAACAAAATTTAAAATGACTCATTGACATTGCAATGTAATTCAATTGATTATTTCAAAAAAAGTGTCAATTTTTTACAAATTCTAGCCATATTAGAGCCGATTAGTCATTAAAAAAAAGCTTTTCTAACTTAAAAAATCTTTCCAAAGTTGTCACAATCATTCAGAATCGTCAAATTCAAAATTACAACAATTCAATTTCATTTACGTTATCAATAAAGGAAAATGAAATAAAATAAAAGATTTCTTATCCATTTCTTTGTCGAATCTAAAAGAGAAAGAGATTTGTGATGAAATGAGTCACAAAGAAAGGAAAAAAAAGGGGGAATGGGAATGGGAAACGGGACTGGAAATGAGCATTGCTCATACTTGCGATTTTAGACAGGGATTTTACTTTTTTTTTTTAAAGAGCTTTGAATATTTTTAGGGTTAAAAGAGAATTTACAAATTAATATGGTTAAAACAATCGAATTGACCAAAAAGACCAGACCAAAAAATCGTTGTTTTGATGTACCAGGAAAACTGTGCTCATAACTTTGCTTCTTTATGCGGAGCGCAGTTTTTGCACGAATATTCCTGTTTTGCTAAACACTAATCCTAACACAAATCCCGAGAAACCGATCTTCACCGAATCAGCGACGATCATCACTTATGCAGTCGGGTGACCTAAGCGATATTGAGAATTGCCCAGAGATGAAGAGAAATTGAAGCAGTGAGAATTTCCGAAAGAATTTAAGCAATAAAAATCGATAGAATGATTTCCCTTTGAATCAATTTCGCAACTAATTACATTCCGAAGTAAAAACCAAAAAGAAAAGAGAAATCGTTGTTTTGATGTACCAGGAAAACTGTGCTCATAACTTTGCTTCTTTATGCGGAGCGCAGTTTTTGCACGAATATTCCTGTTTTGCTAAACACTAATCCTAATACAAATCCCGAGAAACCGATCTTCACCGAGCCAACTTTTTCCAAAATTATCCCTTATTTTTACCTTAAATCAAATGATAATCAAATAGACCTAAACAGTCACCAATTTAATATAAAAGTTAATTAAAAGCCATTGAATTGTCTCAACTTTTGTCACTACCTTAAATGTGATAGCTAGTAAGTCAAAGTTGATTGGTAAGCAAAAGTTAAGTCCCTCCTTGAGGGAGGGAAAATAAATGCCTTGTGGTGTAGTGGTTAGCACAGTTGGCTCGTGATCAGAAGGTCGGGGGTTCGACTCCCGTTGTCGCTCGTAGTTTTGATCTCCTCCAGTTTTGCATTGTTTTTGTTTTATTTCAAACAATTATGCTTTAAAACAAGAGCTTTATACTTAAAAGATGGGTTTTTTAATTAGTAAAAGTGATTTCAAGATTTTCGATGAAAAAGAGCGATGATAGGCTTAAATGAAGATAAAACTTTGTGAGAAACAATTCTATTTGTTTATTTAAAGATCACAAACTTTCTTTTTCTATGATCAATCGGTCAAAAACGAGCTGACTATGATTCACACCTCTTTTTTCGTGAAACTCGACAACCATTCAGCAAACAATAAATCACAATCATCGATGAGAAAGTTACCGGCTCCTCTAGCCCCTACACTTTGGACGCTCGTCCAGCCCATTTAGATATCTTTATGAAATATATCAAAATGGCCCATATGCTTCTTTGATATATTAAAGCCGCAAATAAATATAATAGTATAAGAAAGAATTTGAAAGTAACATAATAATTGACATTGTGACAATTTCAAAAATAGAGTGCAAAGCGCTTTGATAATGGCCAAGTACTATTTTTAGGATAAAAAAGGATAAACAATGATAATTGATCATTTTGTGATAATCAAATTCACTTAAACAGCCAACAATTTAATATAAAAGTTAATTAAAAGCCATTGAATTGTCTTAACTTTTGTCACTTCCTTCAAAAGCAAAACTCATTGTTTGATTGATGATTGAAACACATGAAAATTTAAGTCAGTTATTGGTGGGTGAACAATCCAACGCTTGGCGAATTCTGCTTCGCAATGATAGGAAGAGCAGACATCGAAGGATCAAGCAAGCAACGTCGCTATGGACGCTATCGCCACAAGCCAGTTATCCCTGTGGTAACTTTTCTGACACCTCTTGCAAGAAACTGCTTGAGCCATTTCCAATAAAGTTTAATCTTCTGCTTCTCCAGTCACTAATTATTATGTTTGTTTTGCTTTTTGTTAGACTTTAATAAACCAAAAGATTTGCTAAAATATACTAAACCAAATAAGCTGTTTTAACAGAACAAAATCACTTTCTGATGCCTATTGTTGCGGTTTTTCTTTCTCATTCTCGACAAGATGTTGATCATTTCATTGGTAAATATCTTGTAAAGTGTCCAATCTCAAAACAAACTCTTTAATGTAAAAACTTTTTGATTAAAAACCGACTCACAAGGATCGCTCTCTCTCAAGAAAATACTGGCTCTTTTTCCCGCAGAAAAATGATAGATAACTGGCCAATAAAACTAGAAAAAGTGATAAGAAACATTGAGTCATTTATAGTTTTTCAGAAATTCAATGTAAAAAAAAATTTGGCACTGGTTAAGTTTCATTTTTTGTTTCTAAATGTATGACTGCAGTTCTTTGAGGGCTCAAACTGTAAATTAGGTTTTAGTGGAACAAGTAAAAGTGATTGAATTGAAGAATGAATCAAATATTAATGAAATAAGAAAATAAAGCTAATTTTTTAGAAAAACAACAAAGATTTGAAAAGAATTTTGTATGAAATCCATGAAATCCAGCTTTCAATTCCCATAGGGAAAACCCCTCAAAACGAATCTGATTTGAGGGAATTTGTCAATTCTTTTCAAACGACTCCAAACTCTTATAAGTGAAATTTACTAAAGTTTAAAGTATATTAAAGATTAATATAGAACTATATATTAGGTTGATGCAAAAGTCTTTTTCATTTTTTTCGTACTTCCGTTAAAAGAAGTAACAAATGCACCAATTGAACAACGGTTTACTCTAAATGAAAAGTGTTTATTGTTCAATTTCCCATCTTTTTAAGTCAATTTCGGTTCACTTTCAAGCAAATTCGAGAGTGAAAACGGGTTTTTCATAAAAATCTATAAAAACCTCTATAAAGAAATTGGCTGAATCAATTTCTCTGAAAATCTGAAAAAATATCGAACTTTTTGTGCTCTATCTTTTATTTATTAACATCAAGATTGGTTTCCTTAGCTAAAGCGTCTAAAATGCATCATCGAGCCGTCGCCTTTTTTTGACTACCCGACTTCAGGCTCTCAAAAAAATCTAGACATAAGACATTTTAAACTCGTTTTAATGTCATTTTGCAGAAAAATAATTGGCCTTTCGAATGCAATAAACCATAGGTTAATTGATGACTTTGTTATTTTTCAAAAGAAGTACGAAAAAAATGAAAAAGACTTTTGCATCAACCTAATATATAGACTTTATTCAGGGCATGAAATAAAGTGCGCAAGATTTAAGATTAATACACATCAATTCATACACATAAACACGAAAAGGGGCCGTTAAAAAGTAAAATGATATAATGTATGAAATATATGAGTAACACAGAGAACGTCAAGAATCCACTAGAGCTTCAAGATCGAGATCATCTACAGAGAATTTAAACGTTTCGAGACTATTGGACTCTCTCAA